AAAAATGCACAAATTACAAAAGTCATTCATACTACATGTTCATAAAACATGGCAATACACATTCATACATCAGATCACTATTAACCAAAAGAAGCGAAATAAACTTACTATTCTCCCCCCCCCCCCCCTTGGAAAAAGGCGTCAGGGAGGGGCGCAATTGAAGGCAACCATGGCGTGGCTAAGGGCACCCAGGGTGCGGTGCCCTTCTAATTTGGGCTAAAGAGACCACTATACATATAAGATGTGATATTCTCATATTCGAACGGCCAACTATAGTAGTCAGGCGGATTTAGAGTTTTTCAGGGACCCCCCCCCCCCCCCCCCCCCCTCCCTTTCGTGGGAAAACTTTGGTTGATCATATACATGTAGTGAATCACTGAAACATGACTGGAGCTGGCCCCCTCTTATGAAAATTTCTAGATCTGCCACTGGTAGTCCATTTTGTCTAGCAGTAATCCTCAAAAGTAAATAATACGTTTTTCTTATCAACTTGAGTATAACCTTGCTAACTATTACATAACTGTCAAGACACAGAATGCATGTTAAAACTACTTGCATTGTCACAAAGAGTAAACAATCATATTCCACAAAACAAACAAAAAAGTGTTTGTATCGTTACTTTAGCTACTACAAACCATATATATATATTATCATATGTGACTATCAAGCCCCCTTCAATGATAACCATATTCACCAATACTACAACTAAAATCAAAATCCAGGAGAAAAAAGACACTATATATTCTAATGCTTGGAGTGCAAGATTCCAATAAAAACCCCTATACCCACAAACCACCGATCTCAATACATTTATAAGCAGCTAAAATACGGCAAGCTTTTTAGAAAAGCTATTACTTGTTTATTTAGTATATATTAACGGAAATTTACCTAATTGCATTCGGAATTCTCATGACTTTTTATACCTTCAACGTATTTTGCATTCAGAATTCTCATGACTTTTTATACCTTCAACGTATTTTCCAAATCATTTATTTATTTAGTATATTTATATATAATTTAAATATCACTCAATCAATTAATATATTAAATGAACACATCACCAGGCCTTTTAATTTCAAAAGATATAAAATATTGTTTAATTATTCCGTGTCGGATTATTGGGTTGTCGGACCAATAGGGTGTCGGACTAACGAGGCGTCGGACTAATGAGGCGTCGGAATAACGGGGCTAAAACGGTCAGTTACCAACAAATTGTTCTCATTTCAATCCTTCGATGCAATAAAATTGGTTATAATTCTGTACTTAACAAATACATGATTGTATTAGAGGGTCATATCCAGATTTTTACTTCCCATTGATGCGAAAAATAGACAAGGATCTAGGTTTCACCTAAGCCCAAAACAGGTCCATGGTCTTGGTAGGGTACTTAAGGAGCTCAGAAAAAATATCTTTGAGTTGTTGAAATATTCCATTTTGGTTTTAATAAAGAATAAATTAAAAAAAAAAAAAACATTAAATGACAAAAATGCAACATTCAAAACTAGTTATTTGAATGGGTGAAAATATCAGCCAATCATTTCTTTCTTCTGATCGGATTCAAAATTTAAATGAAGTATACGATCAAATTTCAAAATATCTGTCGGTACTTTGAACATAATCATGATAAATTAAGGTGCGTCGAATTTTATTTTTCACTGTGTATGCCTATTAAATACTTCTACAATTCTGTTAATGAAAATGTCAAGACATTCTGAATAGCTGGTTATAAAAATTAAGTAGGTAAGTAAGTAATTTTCATTGAAATAAAGTCAAGACATTGGCCTATCAAATACAACAATTACAAAATGAACATATACATGTGTTTATAAAATGGAACGAAATTATAAAAACAAAAATACATGGAACAGAACAATTATCATCACTGATACCACGGGTGATTTAAGTCCCATATATTTTGTATTTCAAATTAAAGAACACTAAGTTTAGCTAACAAAACTGAAATGTTCTCTCGGCATTGTTGCAAATGCTTACTGACCACACCAGTGTTCCTTGCAGCTGCTACAATGCTTTGTTAACATCAAGTTTATGCTTAGCCTATAAGATTAAAGATTTTTCATAGATACTGCATTGGAAACTTTTAAAATCTTCATGTTTATTTATACAAGAACCTCGACAAGAACTGGTGTTGTCCATCAAAATTATGTAGTCTCATTGAATAGTTCGAATGTTGTTCCTTATATATGTTAATTTAAACTGGTCTTTGATGTACAAAGCCTGACGGTCCCGGGATTTGTTTAACACATAAATTGTATTCAGTTATTATTTTTTTAGTCATTTGTGATGTTTGTCAAAACAAAATTATAGACACCTGTTTATATTAAACTCTATACAAGTTTTTTTTTTTATAATGGAAGCGGGGAATGTGCCAAAGAGCAGAAAACAGCACAAGGCCACCGATCGATGGGTCTTCAACACAGCGAGAAAATCCCACACCCAGAGGCGGGCTTCAGCTAGCTCCTTAATAATTATAGACACCTGTTTATATTGAACTCTATACAAGTTAGTTTTTTTTTTATAATGGAAGCGGGATATGTGCCAAAAAGCAGAAAACAGCACAAGGCCACCGATGGGATTATCGTTGATCATCTCAACGAGATTGATTTTCTCGCTTGAGCCGGTACGGCGAAAGCGAGAAAAGCAATCGAGTTGAGATGACCAATGATAATCTGTTTATCGCTATTTTACCTATGACGACGTTGTCAATTTCATGTCAATTTCATTAGCAACGGCACGTGCCCCCTTAGTTTCTAGCGATAATTTTCATATCACTCGATATCGCTTAAAAGGAAACTATCGCTATTTTACGAAAATGTCCTTTGATCTTACTGACTGATAATTTCCTTTCTCAGCGGAGTCGAGTGATATGAAAAATATCGATAGAAACTAAGGGGGCACGTGCCGTTACTAATGAAATTGACATGGAATTGACAACGTTTTGAACAATATAGAAGATAGCAAGGATTTTTTTTCACATTTACGCCCAAAAGCACAGAAGCCATTGTAGGGATGACAAACAGCATTTTAGCTCTTGAAAGCCGATAAATTTATCCACATAGCATCATAGCGATCCTTATACGCCAGGTCTATTTTAAAAGACTAATGTATCTACTAGCTATTAAGCATCGTTTAATGTATTTTAGGCCTTAAGTCAACACAAAACTACTGTCTGATCGATTGTCAGGGGGAATTTTCGAAAGTTCAAAAACACAAACAAAATCTAATTAGATATTGCGTGGGAGGGCAGACTAAACATTGAAGATTGAAGACGAATTACTCTAGATGATAAAGTTATGCATTTGTTAGATCCCTGTAAAGTCTGTCGTCAATGAATGTCAGCAAAAATAGTTATTCAAACACGCATACTCAGTTGTTATGACTCATTTTTAAAGGTATTTAACATGACCTGTATATTTCATTTTTAATGACTGTGAGTTTTTCTTGTTATTATATCAATCTGTAGCCTAACTATATAGAAATAATAGAAGCTGAAGCGAGATGATGATTCAAATATTTTTGTTTTATACGTTTTTAATACAAAATAGTCAACCCACGCCTGAACATAAAAAGGAAATCGACTTTCCCTTTTCGATGAAATAATTGCCCATTTTTTGGATTTTTTTTTAGGGACAGAGATGCAACTTAATGCTTTAAAAAACTCAAACTTCTACCTTTCTGTGCAATTTTTATCGGCGAAATTTATGCTTATGCACAAAATATATCCACGTGTATTTACACCTACCACAATGGAATGTTTTGTGAAAATTTGTCTATAATTTAAATCTAAATTTAAAAGTTAACAAATATCTCGAAGCTCCATATTATAATTTAAATGAAAACACGTATATAAGATGCATAAAATGCTAAATTATGAACTTACATTTAACTTGAAGACAATAGAAACAGATATAAACAATTCAAATATACCAACTTTGCCGTTTTTACCTTCTTTGATAAAGAGTTTCATTTCTTTTGTTTAGTTTCAACTGGATATTAGCCTGGTCAGACTCAAACTACCTTAAATTGCTCCCTATGGTGTAGAGTTTTTTTACATTATCGATCTAAATACGTCAACCGGATAACTTGAACATGACACAGGGGTGTATGCATGATTATGTATGTCAAGTGTAAAGGATATGTGATACCAACTTATTTAAATATCAAAGTATTATGGAACCTATGTTTGAACAATGAGGTACATTATAAATTAAGTGCTACTCTTAGAAATTCCCCATTTACTGAAAGCTAGTTTAAATGCCAGTTTCAACTAATAAATATTTTTTCCTTATACTAAAATATGAATTTGTAAACATTCAAAGAACTAAGTTTTAAGAACTCATAAACTGTCTGCGAAAAGTATGACCTTATACAATGCCAATTGCAAATTTATAAGCGCGTTTGACGCATGACATGCTTAAAATGTTGTTTTAATTTTTTTAAGTAGGAACAGGACGCAGGACTATGTTTATTTAAAACTGGCAAGCAGCATAGTCCAATTATGTATTAAACTATTGCAGACCTAATTAATATGAAACGATATTCAATGATTTAACTATAATTTTGAATTGATTACCATAGAAAATTTTCCGTAGGACCAATAATTTTAAATAAATACTTAATTTAGGACATTTAAAGATATTTTAATTTTAACTGCTTCACATTAAAAAGTGTATGTGGGTGAAGATGCGCAGTTCATTTCAGGTAGGCGGTAATGGTAGCCTTTTCCTCCAATCATCTGCCCATATTGTAAACTTGGATATGTATGAAGGCTCTTTTCGGGGCTGCAACATTTTCAAATATGTGTTTAAATTCTCGGGATACGAAGTGAGATTCATTTTTTCCGTAATGTAGAACATGTCTAATATCACTGCACATAGATTTTTTTATTAACGTACTACTTTTTAGTTTCTCACTTTGAGGCACGTTATAGGAACATTTTTCGTTTTCAATACGATGCTAAAAGGAAAAGTAAATTAGAAACGTCAAAACCAGATACTGTTTTATTAGTAACTTTAATACCCGATTTAGCAACAAACCAAACATGCATACATATGATACATTTAAATGCAAGACGTAATTCTTGCGTTCGTATTTAAATAAAACAAAATCATTATTTGAGAAAAGAGCCTGAATATGATAACTAGGTTATTGAGAATTCTAGATAACAGTTTCTCAGGATTAACAACTTATAAATACTTTTGGGAAAGGTTAAACTTTATTGCTATGTGACATTTTCGACTTCATCATATATGAGCTATACAAGAATAAAAATAACCTCTATGTACATGTTCTAGTCATAATAACAAATGTATGTCAATTTGCACGAACTAAGACATAAATAATCGTTATTTAAGTTTCATTTTTAATATTTTTCCGGGAAAAGTTTTCTATGCCATCCACGTACATAAAGTCATCATCATCGCTTCCATTGGTTGATGGACGAGCGCTTGCTCTGCGCAGTAAATCAATTTCAGAATATAGTGTTCTGTCTTCTGCTCCATGAATAATAGACCTACTGTGTGTCTCTGTGGAAGGACCTGCAGCTTCGAAAACTAGTTCGGCATAGTTGAGGTTAGGATTTCCAATCTATTAAGAAAAATAAACATATGAATATAACATGTGAAATAAACTTCTGTATTTTTAACAGACGATCATCAATCCAATGCATTACATTCTTTTCCTCTTCGTACTAACTTGATTCAATTAGCCGGTGAGACAGACCTCAAACCGAAGCTTCTCATGAAAAGTAATTTTAGTTGCTATTAGCTTATTACTTGATACTATGCTATTTATCATTTGTATACAGATGATATCCATCAACTGAATAATTTAAATAAGTGATTATGTTTATAACATTTATCACAGTAAACTGGTCATGTATAGTAGTAAATTCAGTACGGTCAGACAACTCGATTGCAGTTAATTAAGATATATTTAGACTATGTTCACACTGTTCAGCAGTTGTTATTTACCTGTTCATATGAACATTATACTGAATTGTCTGAAAAGCTATTGAACAGTACTGAAATCACCAATGTAAGTCTGGAATTTATCTGAAAGACTGAACATGACTGAATAATTTATTATCAGACTTTTTAGTTGATGTTAATATCAAATTGACTGTTTCAGAATAATATTAATTTAATAGTGTTGCAACATATGCGGTCTGTTACAAAGTTTCCGTCTGCCAACTGATCATTGTCATTGGCTTCATTTTCAAGGTCCAGCGACTGCTAAACATTTTATTGTTCATTTCGTCATATGATTGTCTCACTTATTATAAGTTATAAGGTAGATTCATTTGATTACTGGTAAATGCGATCATTGCAAAGTCAAAATGTCCATCAGGCAATGTTTATCTGACTTCGACCTCATTGATCAGTGATGAAGGCGAGGTTTTTGTGATCAAGACCGTATCTAAAATACTATATGCGATTAATTCAATTGTATTTGGTGTACGGAATAATAGCAAGATGTCCATTCGACCTTTATTTCATTTTCATTGATCATTGATAATGTTACATATGTAATAGCTGGAAAACCTTTTTCTTTAAGACATGTTATGTTTCGGCTTCTGTTTTGGTTTCTCGGGCATAACTATTGCCAATTAAGCATGTTGATTAATGTTTTAAATCTAGAACGGTGGTACATTCTTTTGTGATCATGAATCCAATGGAGAATATGGTCGTTAAAATAACATTCAAATCATCATAGTGCGAGCAATGAAACGATGAACGGCACGAGATAATAGTTTTTGAATCAATGCAAAAATGTTAACTAAATTTGTGTTTTAAATTGCCATTTTTTCGCAGCAACTTATATCACAGACTTGAAAATTGGCAAACACTTGAACCAGGTCTCATATCATTATTCATAATACAAATCTCTTTGTAAAAGCAACACGGTGTTGAAATCTGAAAAGTTTCAACATACGACGATATTGATGATGGACGATTGAAATAAATACATACAACACATTGAAAGCTAACTAGTTGTTATTGTTTGCATCTATTTTTGTATAGATCAATGGAAGTAGGTTCTTATGTTGAAGACTTAATCACTTAGATAGGCAACTAGTCTAAATACTACAGGTTAAGATAGTCGGTAAGATGCATTCGTTACACATTGTGCTTGTGACCTAATACGATATATATGGGGTAAATAAATTCCATATGGGGTGAGAGCGTATATGGTCACTAGCACACAACGTAACTATATATTTATATATATATATATATATACAAGTTTGAATTGAAAACAACGTTCAAACCTATGATTGCGTTGGATAAAAACCGCAATTTTTATACGTGTGCATGCAAAACAAACTTCTTGTTAGAGGGGTCTAAATACAGCACAAACAACATTTTCCAAAAGACCAAAAAAGTGAAAAGTATATTTTAACAAAACGCATTTGACAAACAGGTCAAACAATAAATGTTCTTAAACCCTGCTGACTGCCATTGGCGATTGCAAAATAAACGGATCACCGATGTAATAAATGGATCTTAATTATAAAGTTAATACTAAACAGAAAACAATAAACTTGCGGAAAAGATGGTATACCGCAAACAAAAGGTGCAAAGGTTTTTGTACACCATATCCGGATTTCGACAATTAATGTCTCTTCAGTGATGTTAGGAATTGAAACGGTATTTGGAAATCCATACACTTTACCTCAATTTAGGATAGACTCTTGAATTTTGAGGAGTCAAAATAGGATGAACGGATCATATAAACCCGAAGGCAAATGTAATACAAGCCCAAACGAAAAAATATAAACAAGTCTAAATTGAAAACAACGTTCACACCTATGATTGCGTTGGATAAAAACCGCAATTTTTATACGTGTGCATGCAAAACAAATTTCTTGTTAGAGGGGTCTAAATACAGCACAAACAATATTTTCCAAAAGACCAAAAAAGTGAAAAAGTATATTTTATAAAAACGCATTTGACTAACAGGTCGAACAACAAATGTTCTTAAACCCTGCTGACTGCCATTGGCGATTGCCAAATAAACAGATCACCGATATAATAAATGGATCCTAATTATAAATTCAATACTAAACAGAAAACAATAAACTTGCGGAAAAGATGGCATACCGCAAACAAAAGGTGCAAAGGTTTTTGTACACCATATCCGGATTTCGACAATTAATGTCTCTTCAGTGATGTTAGGAATCGAAACGGTATTTGGAAAGCCATACAATTTACCTCAATTTAGAATAGACTCTTGAATTTCGAGGAGTCAAAATAGGTCGAACGGATCATATAAACCCGAATGCAAATATAATACAAGCCCAAACGAAAAAATATAAACAAGTCTAAATTGAAAACAATGTTCAAACCTATGATTGCGTTGGATAAAAACTGCAATTTTTATACGTGTGCATGCAAAACAACTTTCTTGTTAGAGGGGTCTAAATACAGTACAAACAACATTTTCCAACATATATAATAGAGAATGGAAATGGGGAATGTGTCAAATAGAGACAACAACACGACCAAATCGAGAAAGCAGACAAAGGCCACCAACAGGTTTTCAACACTGTTAGAAAATCCCCCACCGGAGATGTATATTTTCTATTGGAAACGTTATTCCTTCATTATTTTATTCATATAGGGCTACTGTTTACGTAGACGCTAATGACGGAAAACATTTGTTTGTGACATCGCAGAACGCCACTAATAAATGTATAAACTATGTAGCAACACGACGAATTGCATCAGTAGAAAAGGAACTGCTTTCCTTCCCCCAGTACCTTGGTTCTTGGTGAGGTTTGTGTTGCTCTATCTTAATATTCTATGCTGTCATTTGCTGGTTGTCATTTGAATTTTTGTTGTTTCACCTTTATTGTCTTGTTTTTTATTCGATTTGTGCGGTTGAGTGTGTACTTATTATTCTCTCTATTCTTTTGTTTGTTTTAATGTATTGTACACATGTTGTATGGGATTACTATATAACGAGATATCACTAAGTGTTACCGAACATGTAAGGATAGACAGGCAAACTGTTAGGGTTACCATATAATTCTATTGACATTTTATATGAATGTTGCCAAAATCTAATTTATTTCACATTGATCTGACGTGAAAAAATGTGGTCAGAATTATTTATCAATTATCTACCTGGGAGAGCTGTGTGTCAGGAGACCTTTCGTCTTGTGTTTCTTCTTCTGAAACAAAATCAGATGTTTGTAAACTCTCTCATAGAATTGAACACAAGTAATACACACTAGATTGTTTTCAAACTGTTAGTTTATATACTAGTACAAAAAGACTACATGCAGTTCATTTTAAAATAATCATTACGTCTGACATGTCTGATCAAAATACCAAAATCCAAACTTAAATTTAAAATTTGTTTATGCATTGTTTAAAATACATCTGCAAATGCTTAAACGAATACCAATTGGGCACGTTTAGTTTTATTTTAATTAAAAAAAAATACAAGAGTTTGTTTTATTGCATAGTATTGCTTCCAAAATTGTCAACAGGTTTAGGTTCAACATGGTTAAAACGAAGATCATTCTTTTATTAATCACGACCACGAACATATTCCCCAAACCTTACCGAAAGATCAAAATGCAAAAAAACTTAAATAACATGAATAATGGAGACCTTTAAAATTGAACTTCAAGTATGAAATGCAAATTGCCTAATCAATGTGGAATAATACAAATACAGGATAACTGGTATCAAAAACAATATTTGACAGTAAAACAGACCATACAAATCGCCTTCATCTTAATCCTAAAAATAAGAAAAATGCAAAGAACTACACAAATTTTGAATGTCGACCTCTTCGGTGAATATTCTGATGTGAAGAAAAACAACAGGAAACACAACATAGCAAACATAAGACTGAGCAACACGAACAACTTCAAAAAATTTTCGAAGGCATTATTTTTGCTGAACCACTTGATATTGTAGGTCTAAAAGCCTTCTTGTTAGCAGCAACCCTCTATCAAGGAGATTATGATAGGACATGCAAGATCTGGAATATCTTTTTAGCTAGGCGATATTTACTCAATTTCCAAGCGCTGCTGGACTATTGCTACATAGAAATAGAAAGTAAAAAAATTGACAAGCTGAAGGATATCTTTTGTCTTGAATTTTGTTATCAACAAATCGTCATTGTCTATTTCTAGATGTAAGTCAAAATATCAGGCAAACTTAACTGTATCTGTTGTATCCTATATTTCAAGATCAATTGGATAGATGCATTCAACATAGTCAACAAACGTTGAACTATTTAGTTCATGAATCGGAAAATATTACACCTATTTGAAGTTGCGCATTTCGTCTTCACTAGACTCATCATTGTTTTGTAATGAAAAGTTGATTACAAAGAAAAAGAGAATAAAAGACCGAAAACAAAAAAAGGATGTGCTAACAAATACTAAATCAATCTTTATCATGGTGGAAAAACCCTACTGTTTCAAATAAACGCGCAATTGGGGCACACATCACGTTAAATAGTATTTCATTGTCTGAATATTTTCTAATTGTAGTTGCAAAACACTTCCTTATTCGTTTAATCTAACGTATTTTGTAAGACATGTGGCTTTCATCAAATCGTATAATATATAGATGAAAAATGCAGTCTGACTTACGATTTCTTAGAAGAACGATTGAAGGAGAAGACACGTTTGAAATAACACCTATTTCATATCCCTCTGACAACTGATTCTGTATAGCACTGGCTTCAAGGACGTGAGCAGATTGGTATAGACGATTTTCAATTGCTTCTCCTATTTATATAATAATATGATAATAATAAAAACCAGTCAGTCCTTCATGTTAAAAACGGTTTATGGTATGTACAACAAATGCATGCCAAAACAATTAGATTGATGCAGACATGCCATTTTAAGAATCTCAGTTCATCCACACCTCAATTCAATATGCAACAAATCATTTCGTTCAATAAATTTATGATCTTGCAAACACATTTATTTTGTTCTACTTGATAACAAAATGATGTGTTTAGTCTATCTTGATGGATTGACCAGCAGTTTAAAGAGGGTCAAAGGTGTTTATTTGTCCTCCAAGATGTAACTTAATAATAACTGAGACTTTCAGAATTGCAACGTTCCTGATTTATACCAAATATAAGACAATTCAACATGAATAAAAAAAAAAATCGTTATACATTCAGAGTTAAGAGGATAACAGATGAAAACTTCACACATAAAAAAAAAAACATAATGATGTGTCATCGCTGGAATTATGACTATTATTAAAAAAACAGACTTTTTATAAGAAGAAAACATGAAAAAATCAGTAGCTTTAGTTTTTTACAGATGTAATGGTTCTAGTATAATCCGTTGTGCAGTTTCATAAAACAGTTGCTGATTTTCTGTGTTTTTCTCTATGTTATATGCTTGTAAAATTTTCACACCTGGAGATCTCTTAAAATCCTAATCATGACACGACTTGTCAAATATCGTCTTCAAATCGTTGATACAGCCAGACAGACGCTTACGAACGAGTACCCCACGAATAACAGTTCGTTTACATGTTTTCATTTTATATTCGAATTATGTTTAGTTTTGTCATTTAGATTTTTATTTCAGAGTCTGGTTAGTTTCTCTATTCGATATGAGTTAATGTTCATTTTTAAGCTTTTAGTTCTCATAATACTCCGAAAGAGAAGTAACTGCATCCTTAGTTTATCCATACCCGGGAATCTCATCTGTGGATGTTTTATGTTTATTCCGAAAGCTTTTTTGCTTTTTTAAGGAATAATATAATGCTTTAGTTTAAGTATATACATATCGTCAAGCTTTGAAAACATGTATTTCATTTCCTTGTTATCTAGAAATGAATTGCATTATGAGCTATTTGTAAATCAATATATAATGATAAGAAGCACTGACCTTCTGCATCTGGACTAAATATTGATTCACTGAAAAAACAAACTAGCTTGATAAATAATTAAACTTTAAGTACTAGTTGTTTGAACTCATATTTTTAGGACTAACTCTTAAGGATTTCTTTCTTTATGTGTAAATTGAGAATTATTTGTCGCGTAAAAAAACTTTGATGATAAAATCGTTTCTTCAACTACATGACTTAAAGTTTGGCAAAATTGTCGTATCATGTGATTATTTTTTTCTTCGTTATCACGCAAAGATTTATAACTTTTCCCCGATATTTGCATCAAACAAAGTTTACCTCGTGTTATTTGCCTGTCTCTCTATACCTGTAAAACAATTACAGAATTTAAAACTTTTATTTGACACAAAATGGTCAACTCTATTTAATTCTACATTGTTTAATTACAAAAAAAGGATAAAGTCATGATGTCATGAATAATTGTAGAGCTATCTTGACTACACATGAATAATGTTTAAGTTAGATGACACATAAAGTATGCGAAGTACAAATGTACACTGAACGGTAATTCAATATATTCTTACACATTTATTATGTAGATTGAAAAATTATTTTACCTGGCATCATATAATTATCTTTTTTGTTCTTGTTCACATGTATACCACACATTTGTGGTGTTTACAGCAGCATAACATACAACGAGACCTTCGAAAATCGTGTCAAAGAAGGATTGAATGCACCTTAAAAAACCCACAAAACTCTAACCACAAAATAAGCGATTACAAATCATGTTCTAATCAGGATATTATTTTTGGATTAAACCATAAGCGATTGACAAAGTATCCTGTATCGAATTATGTTCAAATTAAAAAATAATTATCTGATATTTTTTAAACCAATTCTGGACAAACTATGTTTGGACTCAGACTGCGGTCGTTCTTGTGACCTATAATCGTTAACTTCTACGTCATTTCGTCTCTGGTGGAAAAAAGTAAAATAACAAAAATACCGAAAGCTGTCTCACTGGCGAGCATATAACATCTTCTTTTTTTGCAGTTAAAAGTAATTGAATTTAACAAAATATAACACAAGATGCATTCATCTAATATGTTATTGTCAAAATGTTACATTCTACCAGAGATGAATTTTGCGGTCTTTTCAAAACAATGCTAAGTTAAGAAAATCATCTGATACAATTATTAACAACGAACATGAATATGAAAATTCTGGATGGAATGCTCAAGTGTTATTCGGAAAGATTAGAGGGTACGTTATATATATTTTCAACTTTTATAAATGGAAATGAACTTATGTTAAGTGAGCAGCTGGAAAATGTTTTATTGTAGCGTGTAAGCAATTTTATATCTGCCCTGCTGCAGCTTTATATTTAGCGGAATAATAGTGTGACATTTCAAAACACTAATATCACACGGAAAATGTTCGTCCTGGTTTCTTTAGAAGTGATTAATTTAATTCGTGGGTTGGGATTGATAAAGTTGCCCTGTAGATGCTTAAGTGAGCCGTAGACTGTAAACACTTTTTGGATCTGCTATACCGTAATTCCGTAAGTCTGGAATCAGTCTTGCTAAATTTTTCAATTGTATTGTCTCACTTTCTTTATAATGATGGTCGATTAGCCACTGAGTTTGTTCTCTCATCTTTTTTATATCTAAAATAATGTTGATAAGTCGTTTTTTATTTCTTACCTCTTATTCGAATTTTCAGGGATACACATTTCACAAAACTAATCACCACAACAATCACTATTGCAACAACACTTATCCATACAAAAACCATTTTGGCGATGTTTTGTTTTTCTTGAAAATAAGTAAGATAGCACTTGACAAGGAATGATATATACAAATGACTAACAATAAAAACGAAAAAAAGCATAATATGAAACGTATTCCCTCCCAATTCATTGATGAACCCTGTCGTTTGGAGCTCATGCTTTTGTTTGAATTCTGTTTTTCAATTTCTTCAACATGCATATACAAATTCGATAAACTACTTTTGACTATTATTTAAGAAACATTCAAAAAGTCTATACGACAGAAACACAATATTGCATCTTATATTAATATAACTGCAGTTTCTAAAGCATATTACTTTAAACTAGTTATTTTCTTTAGTTGTGGCGTAATATTGAAACCAAGGCTACTGATTCAAAAATCGAAGTTTCATTTCCATGTATAATATAATGATATGAAGAAAAAAAGAAAACGATATTTTTATATACCTTTCTTCAATGAGAATGTTAGGTCATTTACAATTTTAAATTTGTAAGTTTTTAAATAAAATTTTTCGAACGTTTGAATATTAACAAGGGTCCGACAATAGTAGATTTGTTCAATATATCAAATGCCCTAACATAAACTTTTATACCAAACATAGATAAACGTACTTGCTGATTTACTTTCTGAAACAACCGCAATCTCAAAATTGTTGCATCCATATTCGTTACAAACCAATGTGGCATAATTTGTGAAATTGTCTATTCCAGACAGCCGGAAAGTAAACGATAACAGAGTGCATAAGACTGTTATGTTAACTCCAAGAACTGTTAAATGTCCATTACACTTTGATTGGTATGACGTTTCGATAGCTTCGGGTGTCTGCTTCCAATTGCTTTTTATTAACTTTCCTGTTATCTTAGATGGACTTAGGATTTTCAAGGTAATGTTCATTTTGTTACCGTGTTTACCAAAATACACTTTGTTATTTGGATTGATAACAATTGGCGAACCTAAAAAAATAACAATATAACATGCACGAATTTTAGACAGCTTACATTGGAATGATCGATGATTGGTGGTTGCTTAACGTCCAAGGGTACATTGGAATGAAAAATCCAATTAACACCTTAGGTTCCAATTCATTTTAGTAATTGTTTTGAGGGTATATATATCACGATTTACAGAAGTGTTCATACTGAAAATCTATAAGGCGATTCGTCTTAAGTTGGTATTGTCATATTTTTCTTTAACATGAAAACATTCCAATACTGTTATAAATATATATAACTTCAGAAAATTAAAAAAAAAAACAAGAACAAATATTTAAGAATTGAGTTCATACAGGAAAAAAAAAAGCTAAGCCAATAAGGATTTTTTTTTCTACATTGAAACTGAACAAAGTTACATCTTGAGTCAGTATGTTATCGCAGAAATTGCAAGTTCGATTTATGTAACGGTAGATTACCTCTGTATGGTACTTCAATCTGTCCCGTCATGAAAAGGTTTCCATTTATTGCAGAAATGCCATTTGTAACATTACAAATATAGATTCCGGAATTGTGATAATCGTTTCCCTCTATAATCAGTTGATTACCATGTGTTCCCTGAACGTATCTGATATGTTCATTGAATTCTGACCGATGTTCCCATTCTTCAAATTGGTTTTTACTAGGTAAACCAGTTGCACTGCAGTTAAGTTGCACAACATTCTTAAGCTTGTACATCTGTACATTCACGTTAGGCGGGTCTGAGTAAGACATAATTAAATCAACATAGACAAATATCTATGTGGGGTGAATTTTAAAGTACTGAAAAATGCTCTAAATGCTTTAAAACCTTAATTTATTAATATTTGATCGTAATAAAAAATATTCTGTTATTGCTAGTCATATTTTTATGATAGTACAGAGATACCACTACAAATGTAAAACAGATGAGATTTTACTATACTAACATACTTCAAACCTACGATTACCTGATGGACGCATTTGACGAATGTACAAGGGATGTGGAATAAATAAACAAAGAAAAAGAAGTTTATTCTAAATCAACAAAAAGGTCAGCCAAATAACTCTATAAACCTTCCGACTTGCTTCAGTGTAGCATTAAAAAGTCAGACGAGTGTTTTTTTCATGTTTGTTCATGATTTTATAGTTACTTTCACCATATGTGGCACTCTCTATACATGGTATCATAAGGAAGAATTCCAAGCATTATCCTTTATCTAAAACTTCAACTTCCACTATAAAGATGTGGTATGACTCACTAAACAATTCAAAGTTTGAAGACTATGTTTAACACAATTTTATTTTCTACGTATTCACAAAGGGTTGGATGAAAATAAAACTTTACGATAAAACGGAATTTTTGTACTTTTTAAATTTCAACTTTTATGTGCAACTAAAGCAATAATCCAGCAGCGCCAGCATATGGGATAAAATATGTGTATACCATTTCATACGAAATTTTTTTAGCTTTCGTTTCCTGTCATGATTAATGATTTTGTTGGTTTAAAACAATCTTTTGAACTGAGGGTACCAAGTGGTTAAGTTGAAGATACCCTTTGAGAGTTTTAAGGACGACTTCCCGACGTGATTGACCGTTAAGAAATAAGTGTGTCATAGATGAACACATATATGTTACGATTGTCTAAACCACAATCCTGTCCTCTTTTTATCATCTAATGAAACTAATCCACGAATTTGTATTTCCCATGAGCAACAAGACGGGTGCAACATGCGAAGCAGAATATGCGTATCCTGATTTCAGTCCCGCTTTTTGGTGAAGGTTATGTTACTCGGTATAAGTTTTCTATGTAGTGTTTTGTAAAATGTTGTTTGTTTTTTCGTCCTTTTCTCGTTAGATTCTCTTCTTCGACCTTTAAGTGTTAAATGTCCCCTTGGTATCTACCGCCTCAATGGTTCATAAAAAAGATACTTACACAAAACATAAACATATTTTGTGATGCTAGCAAAATCAATAGTATTGTTAACAGTGCATACATATTTCCCAGCATGGTGTCTGTACAGTGGTAAAAATTTGTAGCAATCCTTTTTATCTTTTACATTTTTTATGATCTGCATATCTTTAATCCATATTAAATTATCTGCCGGTGGTCTACCATCTGATGTACAGCATAATTCGGCTGAAATCCCTTCCTGCAATTTTTTCCCGACCAAAGGTCTAATTGAAATGGTTAGCTCTAGTTTACCTGTCAGAAATTGTTACTACATAATTCATCATTCGTAATACATATTTAATATAGCATTTAACTTTGAATTAAAGTAATTTAGAAACGCAATTTTATGGGAGAAAACAACATTTTTAGTTGTAAATTTGTATTGATTAGGTTCGAAAAGACATTTACATCGCGCTTTTTGGCAGCTGACATTTCAAACAAGGATTTTCCAACCATTATCACTATGATCCATAGTTTAAACATTGGTTAGTTACTAAATATGTCACTTTGTTGAACATTTACGAACCAGCGTTCTTTTTATTACGTCATAAACAGAACAAATTTTATAAATTTCTCCATATTCAAAGGAAATCTGTAAATTCCTATTGGTTTTAAGACCGGATTCACACAATGGTACGTCATCAAACATGATAGTTCTATTTCACTTTATAATATGCATATTTTTCTACTCGAAATACTTTTTATCGTATAACCATTGACTTAATATTCGGAAGCATATTTGGCTCTTGCTTGAAATTCCTTAATTAAAGCATTACTTTCTCGAACTGAACTATCATTTTGGCATTCATGTGATATATTTGTAATTGTAAATTGTTATTTTGTATGTCAAAGTATAAACAACAGTTACTGTAGGAGATATTAAGTGTAATTTACATGCGGGTTTGTTCTTACATGAGCAACACGATGGTTGCCACATGTGGAGCAGGATCTGCTTACCCTTCCGGAGCACCTGAGATCCCCCCAGTTTTTGGAGAGGTTCGTGTTCCTCAGTCTTTGGTTTTCTATGTTGTTTTGTGGACTGTTGTCTGTTTGTCTTTTTCTTTTTTAGCCATGGCGTTGTCAGTTTATTTTCGACTTTGAATGTCCCTTTGGTATCCTTCGCTTCATTTGTATTAGTCATAGATGTATTATCTGTTACCTATAAGTTTTGAATTAATGGTTTCGTTATAAACGTGTAAGATTTTTTAGAAGTTCATACAATCATGAATACTTGTCCGTTTTGTTGCTATAGGTTTCTTTTGTATTGCAGACTCGATATATTACCCCTTTTTGGTATGTTGCTTTTCAGACCTGAGTAGCAGTTACACTCATTTTAATAATGATTTTGTTATCGACTTAATATAAAAAAAGAATGATCAATGGCTTTTTGATTCCTACTTTTGTAGCAAAATAAGATTTTTGATATGAAGCAGTAATTCGTTTTAACTAATTTAAAAAGTACATACGAAAAATTGCAAATTGAGGAAACTGCCGTTCAAGAAGATTTACTAGATACTTCTAGCCTGGGATGATTAAAATTCAAGAAATGTTAAAAAAAATTAAAGCATTGCAATAATGTTGTTAAACATTATAATTTCAGGTCAGCACTGTTGTAAAATATGTTATTTCATACTCGTCAATACTGAGCGTTCTTCTTCTATTCCAGCGCCTTTGCTCAATGAAGGTACATCATTTGCTCAAGCGTTTCGGATGCATGACATGTAAAAACTGTAATTGGTGTTAACTAGTACTGTTCGATTCTACTGCTGATAGACTGTAAATTCTTGAGAGTTTCATCAGCTCAGTAGTATGTGCTTCCGTCATGACAAGAGTCATAACATACATTTCCAAATTTATCAATGTCCGTTTTTAGTCATATAGCTCCCTACGGTTTAATGTATTTATACATGCCTGGCTTTCACATATGTTTGTCGGAACAGTATTGATTCAGCGAATTCTATAAAATATCTTCTAGAACATAACATTTATATACTATTAATATACAACACAAATAATGTGAACTGAATGGCTACCGGTAGCTTTTTTTATTGGCGAGACTATGTTGTATTCAGATCACCTCCGTCAAGATCGAAAGAAGAAGTCCGCGACCATGAACATAGTTATCGTCTGTGGCGAGTTTTCAAAACGAAAGTGAAGTGATGAACAATATACTAAAAAGACATTGTCAAAAATTTCTTTGCTCAATGGTTTTTAATTAACTATACATTGTCGTAAAGTGAATGTGACTTTCCGTTAGATTCGAAGGTCGTTAACATGGTAAACGATAACTGTCGAGACCAAATCTTTCATCATATTATAATTTAATCATTCGTGGATTTAATTATCTGCTAATCGTTAAAGAGAAAGTGACTTCCTTGCTTCTTAATAGCTCGAAAAGTACTATCTGGATTTATAAAATTTCTAACCAGGTTTTGCTGGCCAATATATCATGATAAATTACTTGGTAAATGTATGGAACGCCACAGCTGTCTTATGTGGAACTCTGATATTACTTTATGTTGTTTTATTATTACTTGATGATATTTTGTCGTTACTTAATATGGTTTTGACATTACGTAATGATGTTTTGATATAACTCAATATGGAATAGTCATTACTTAATGATATTTCGATATTACACGATATGGTTTCGTATTGACTTGATATAGTTTTGTCATTACTCAATATGGTTTTGTCATTACTCGATGTGGTTTCACCATTATTTAATGTGGTTGTGTCATTAGTCAATGTGGTTTTAACATTACTTGATGTGAATGTGACTTAACGTTATGTAGTTGTTTCATTACATGATGTGGTTTTGTTATTTTGTAATGATGATTTGCCTATTCTTTATATGGTTTTAACATTACGTAATGATGTTTCAAAATTTGACGATTTTACACTACATGATGTGTTTGTTTCATTATTTGATGTGGTCCTGTCATTCTTTGTTGTGGTTATCCCATTACTTGATGAGGTAAAATCACGTGACCAATTCGGAAAAACCTGTTCTATTTTTAGATAGATTTCCATGTTGTATGTGCCTTGGATGAGTGTGGCCATCCATCGAATTAGAGTTCAAATTAAAGTTCGGGTTACTGTTTGGGTTAAACCTTGAGTTAGTCTTCGATTTCGAATTCAAGTCATTATTAGAATTAAAGTTTTAGTTAGCATTGAGTCTCGAGTTGGACTTCGAGTTTGAGTCACATTTAACTGAGGTAGAGTTGTAGTTACAACATTAAATTTGAGTCACTTTTTTGAGGTAGAGTTTGAGTAAGATTCGAATATAAGTCTCATTTAGATTAATTGAGATTTTGAGTTGAAATTCGATCTATCTTATATGAGTTCGTAATTAAATTTTCTATCGCGGAACAAGGACTTTTGCTCGGGCTTCCGAAAAGAGGGCTCCGGGGTATGCGTACAAAAGATAAACACTGTTACAGTATACAAAACGCAACATAGAAGTTGAAATAAAGTTAGATGTGGTGTGATTGACAATGAGACAACTATCCATCAGAGTTTAAATGCAGTGGATGTAAGAAATCATATATAGGCAACCGTACAGCCTTCAACACACTGTATAGTCAGCTACAAAAGGCCACCATGCAACATGTGAAAAATTCAATTGAAAACACAAACGGTCTTATTTATAAATAAACAATCTACAAAAAAAAAATGACACACATTTATACAACGACAACAATTGAACTTCATGCTCCTGACTTGGGGCAGGTACATAAAGAAATTGCACGTGGCGGAGTTTAACATGTATGTGAGCGCTAAATCCTAACCTTACATCAGACTGTTACAGTTGTGTAACATCACAACACGAGAAAAAATGTAAACTAGACAAAGTGATGCCCCCGCACTCAACTCATTTAACCGCTTATACCCCAAAAATGCCAAAAAAAAGTTCAATTATCTCCAGAAAGAGCAAAAGATAATAAAAATAAAAACCCTGACCACATGTACACCTTCAATATATGTACAAACAGACAATAAAGAGAAAACTTCCTAGGATTCAAACTGTAGGAGGAGTTATGCGGAATAACTATATACCCATAATGGGACGGACAGACGGACGGACGGACGGACGGACGGACGGACGGACAGGGGTAAAACAATATCCCCCCCCTCCAACTTTCAGTTGCGGTGGCATACAGAACAGTTTCATTTGGCTGTTTCAATAGATCGGTATGACTTGGTAATATAAATCCATCGGAGTGATCTCGGATGCTCCAGAAAGGCATCCGTCGTGTTTTTCGAGAAAGTACAAACCCAGTGATTGGTTTTATTTGGTAGTTTACATTCAAGGAAAAGATGACGGTTTTATGGTTACGACCACTGGAACATGTCTGTCGTCACATATGAAACAGATATTCCAAAAAGTTTATTTTTCAATTAGTGCGAGGTAGATCAGGGAATTCAATTGATTACAAATAAAAGATTGATATTCGTATAAGTTCAAATGATCATTTACGCTAAAAAAAATTCGGAGAATTCTTATTTTATAGTATTGATGCTTTGTCGCTTAGTCCGAGCCCCCCTCCCCCCCGTTTCCCTGTAACTTTAGTGTGAGTTGATTTGAAGTGTTTCATTTGTTAACAATAAAGTTCAAGTCTTTTGATTTGTGTCGAGCCTGCGACATCAATGTAGCGGCAGTGAGACACAACAAACCTATATTTCGTCGTCGATAGTGGCGTCGGCGTCTCCATCTCCATTTTTGTTTTATTTCTATTGAGTTTAACCTTTCATTATACATGTTACTAAACATGTATGCCATGTATATTACTTTTAGAATATCATACTGGATTTGTTTACCTCGACTATTGTATCTGTATTTATATTGTATGTTTCTCTGTAAACTTGTATTTAGTTTTTATAGAATAAAGTATCTATCTATCTATCTATAGATCGTTAGGTTTCTAGGTTTTTACATTTTTCATTTCGGGACCTTTTATAGCTTACTATATGGTATGGGTTTTGCTCATTGTTGAAAACCATACAGTTTTGTTTTAGTTAAATAAAACCGAATTAAACTGTTTTGACATGATAAATTTGTAAACCTTCATGAAGTGTTTTAAAACTTGTATAGGAGTTATTCCTCAATTTTAAGAAAAAGCATCTACAGAAAAACATTTTTTTTTTAAATTTTTTTTTTTACCGATAAATGTATAGATAAATATAAAGCCGATCAACATGACGCTTTTACACTTACAGCAGCAATATCAGGCGAGACACAGGGTTCCGTGGAATATTTTACAAATTTATTACAAAAATACTGCTTCCGTTTGAGAACTTAGGATAAAAACAACAGGACCAAGTGGTTTGGGGATATCCCAATTATGTCCGAAATACTGTAAACTTTTTAATACTTTTTTTCTTATTATTGTCTGCCGTTCCCCTTTTTCATACCAAATAACTCTGCACAACCACTCGAACTTTAATTTAAACTTTGTCTCAATGGATAGCGATACCCATCCAAAGCACATTA